ATATATTTTGATAAAAAAATACCTTTAAATTTTAAAAAATCCACAAATTTAACGTTAATTTTTAATTTTATGCAAATATTAATTCTAAAAGAATGCAATTAATATATCAGCTTAGGGTTAGTAAAACCCTAAATTTTTTTTAAACTAAAAAAAGAAAGCAACTCCCATAAAAAAGGAAAAAAGAAAAAAAGAAAGAAACCTTAATAATACATATAAAAAAAAAAAAAGTGTACACTGGCTCACCTTTCCGATGGGGTGGTTTCGTAATATCAGGGATTGTTTTCCTTTATTTGTTTTTGTCTTGCAATTGTAACATTTTTGTTTTAAAAACCTTTTTCGTAGAATTCCGACTATATTAAAATATAAAATATGAGTATTAGATGAAAAAGAATCTTAATATTAAGAATTTAATTTTTATTTAATAATTAATAATATATAATTTAATACAATTTAAATTTTATAATATTTATATACACATAGGAGTAGATATATAATTTTTTTTTTTTTTAAGTTTGGAGCGGAATACATTTTTTTTTTTTCCATTTTGGCCATAAAAAAAATTCAAAATGTATGTTTCTAGAAACTCAATTTGATTTGTTCTTGCAAAACTAAAACTAAAAACGTTTGATCGGCAGATTTTGCCCATAAAAAATTTAGGATTAAGAAGGCACATTTACCCTAACATCTACGACTTGACAATATATTAAAGGCCCATTCCCATTGTTGCATTGTGTGATTGTATGCGAAAATGAATCGAGCTCGGACTCTGCTGGTCGGATTACAAATTTTCCTGTTTTGTTCGGACATTGTTAGCCTATTTGAACCGCCTCCTCCCATACACACGCATCAACCTCCTCCTCTTTCCTTCCGATCAAAATCACAGCCTATTCTTCAACAACCCCTTCAATTCCCCACTAAGGTTTTGTATATTTACGTGACATTTTTTTTTTTTTGATCGGTGTTTGCGTGTTAATTAAATTAGTCCATGCATCTATGCATCTATGCTTTCACGGATGCCCTGGTGTTTCCTTTTTTGTTGTTTTGATGCGTTTTAAAAATGCAGAAAACGAGCAGCGTCCTGGGAACAGGGATTGGCAGCATCGTTAACATCAACTTTTGCATGTCATGTTCTTACAGGTTTGACTTTGACTATTTTTTCAATTTCTTTTCCAAAAAAATACATTCAGTTGGTAGAATCCTTCGATATATATAATTGTATCGCAAACAAATGATTATATGATTCGGATTCAGTATGGGAAAATGCTGGATATATGTATAACCTCCAAAATTTGGGCTTCAAAGACGTAATTTTTGAAGTCATAATGTTATGTACATATATTTTGTTTAATTTGGCAGAGGAACTGCTGTAACAATGAAAAACATGCTGGAAGCGGCATTCCCAGGAATCAGTGTGGATTTTGCAAACTACCCTGCTACATTTCCAAAACGTCTGCTGAGCAAGGTGGTGCCATTTTTACAAGTAGGGCTAATGGGGATAATCATGGCTGGGGAACGGATTTTCCCAAGACTTGGAATCATGCCCCTACCAGCTTGGTACCTGTCCCTACGTTCAAATAGATTTGGAAGTATTGCTAGCATTTGGCTTCTTGGAAATGTCCTCCAAGGCTTCCTCCAGAGTTCTGGTGCTTTTGAAGTCTACTGCAATGGTGAACTGGTAAACACGTGCATAAATGCAGTTTTTTCCCATCTTGCTGTATTTCGATGAGAAAAATTCCATTTGTTTCTGATTCCTATGGTTCTTTTTTTGTACATTGTAGGTGTTTTCTAAGCTGATGGAACGCAGGTTCCCGAGTGAAATTGAGCTGAGGGATCTTGTTAACAAAAAGCTTCCTAATTCAAGAGTTGTTGATGGCATTGGAGGAAGTCTCTGGTCCTAGTGCTAACAAGGATGGTAAAGTTGATGGTTTTTGTTCAGAGTTGTGTTTTATTCATCCTATGGAATTTCAGCCTAAAAGAGTAACATCTGATAGTTTTTGGCTGAAACATGATTACTAACATTTGATAGTCTTGGATTTGTTGGGTGTAGACAAGTATGAAGATACCATGACTGCCATCAGCAAAGCAGTAATGTGATAATTTCTTCTCTGAACTTCTTGCAGAATCCAAGCAAAAATTTGATGGCAATAGCTTGGTTTAGGTGTACAGTGTTGAAGGATGCATTGCAAAGTATCGTGAGCTGCACTCTGGAATGCTGAATTTTTCCAGACTTCAAGAGTTTTTCCTAGAGTAGCATACTTCTAATATTGAAAATTCTTTAAGAGATAACAGTTAGGCCTTTTCTGGTTGTTTAAGTTTAGAATTTTTGAAAATTTAGTAGTTGATTCTGCCTTGATAGCAGAACATTTTTCTTTTGGAGATCACAACTTCCTTTCAAGTTTTTTGCCTCTTGAAGTGCTTGTCTTCTCATATATTGTTATTTGCTAATAAAGAAAATTCTATGGTGGTGTTATGAAATGCTTTTATGGCTGCTATCTGAATTTATTGGACTTTCCTTAACTAATTATTTTGCTCTTTGGGAGGTGTAGGTTCATTAGCAAACTTATGCAATTGTGCTTCTGCAAAGTTGAACTCCAGTTGAGCACCAGCTGATGATCTTAATTTTAGTATAGATTCTAAAGGTAAAGCCAACAAGAATAGATGGTGGTCTTGGATTTGTTGGGTGTAGACAAGTATGAAGATACCATGACTGCCATCAGCAATTGCTCTAATCAAACTTGTTTCTTAATTAGACTTATTTTCATTTTCCACATCTAGTATGACATAAATTACTTTATATGAAAGAAAGTGAACTTATCTCCTTAGCACCATTGAAGCCACCGGATATTCATTTTCATCCAGACAGATATTCATGAAGACCACTAATTTGTGCCCATAATTCTTGTAAAGGGAAAAAGTTAATATAGGGGCAGGTTAGCATATGATATTGTCGATTAGGTTCGAAATATGAATGTTGGGGTACAATAGCGTATGTAGAAAACGTCGTAAACTTGACAGTGGTCATGGCATAAATTTCTCTCCAGAGATGTAAATGTGAAGAAACTTTCAACTGTAAAGCCACTCTTTTACTCCCAAGTCAAGTATTTACTTTTAATCACATTATTGTTACTCTACACAAGAAAGGACAATAAGCAGTTGAGTTTTCCAGATATCCATGAAAAGAACCAAATGATTTCTGTTCAAGTCCTTTACCTCCAGACTTTTCTGTCTCCATACTAGTTTCTTGCATGTGCAGCCGCTGAAGAGGCATCCTGCAACATCAGATAAAAAGAGTCTACTCAAGGAGCTGCTACAGTGAAAAAGAAGGTTTGACAACCATTATAAGACATTACCCTGGTTTTAATAAATTTATCAATGATTTCTTGAGGTGTTCTAACTTCTAAGCCTAGGCTTTGTATCATCAGGTGCCCTTGCTGTTTTTCTTCTTCTGATCCAAGACAAAAAAGGGAATTAATGTTGTCAAAGAAAATCAACAAAGAAGAAAGATGTGGACCAAACTCATATACAGAAATAATTAATACCTGGATATCATTCTCATTTAAGAAGCTGACCCTGCTTTTGTATGATTGTCAGTAAATTGGTTACATTATAGATTAGATTTTTAACTCTTACTTCGATCAATAATTTGAGAAAAACAATCGCAGCGTTAATCATCTCAGGGGATGTAGCTCAGATGGTAGAGCGCTCGCTTAGCATGCGAGAGGTACGGGGATCGATACCCCGCATCTCCAATTATGTGATTTTTATTTTTCTTAAACCGTTTTCCGGAATACACTCTCCATCCGTACAGTGAGTGACTGGGCTGGGCGCAAGGGCCCATGGACCTAACATGGACATCTCTTTCTTATTCCGAGCCACGTGGTTGGATCTGGATCACACGATAATTTCTCGTCATCCGACGGTCCTCAAATCGACATCAATTCGCGATCCCTCACGTGGGAGTTCATTGTACGGCCGTGTAACAATTCTCCAACAAATCTGAATTCTGAACGGTGGATCCGTCAAGATTTATAAAAAGAAATAGACAAAAGTCAAATTGGAATATCGAATGTGAAGACTTTATATAAAATTACTTGAACAGATTCTTCGAGTGTAGTAATTTGTTTTTAAGTTTTATTACTTGTATAAGGTTGGTTAGTAGATTAAATTTTATCAATTATTTGAATATTATTGATCTATTTTCCCTTGTCATTGTTAAAAAAAATATAATTATTTACATATATTTAATAAATTTTTATATTTTAAGTCAACAAGTAATTTAATGATTATTTTCTCTTACTAAAAATAAAAAATTTTCAATTCAAGTTATATAACATACGAGTAAAATAAAATAAAAGATAAGAAATTGTTACTTTTCATTATATAATTAAGATTAAAAAAAT